GGAGTGGACTGACAATTCTGGCTATGTTGACCCATTGTAGATCTTGACTTGCTGATCATTTTTGCTGTTTATAGTTGTTATTTATACTTTTATCTCCAAAAATGCCAAAATAGGTAAAAATCATCCTTAAAGGGCAATATTCATACAAAAAGTTGACTGACAATTTCAGCCATGTTTACATATTTTTTTATCTTGTCTTATTTGAGGATAATTTTCATTTAAGTCAATAACTCCTATGAGCAGTCAACAAACGATTTGACCTTTTGATTTGTTAGTAGATCTTGTCTTGTGAATGATTTTTGACATTCTATTTATCTATCTATTATATTTTAAAGTTAATAGGAAAAAATGAAAAAAAAATATTGGAAAAATAATTCACTTAAGGACAAAAACTCATAAGGTAATGCAACTTTCATGTACAAATTTGACTTTTCCTTAAGATGTTCGCATCTAAAGAAAACCGTTCGGTTTAAGAATAATATCACCCGAAATAAAATTGACAATATAAAAAAAACATGTACTTCCGGTATGTCCAGTTTGAGCAAAAAAAAAATCCGACATGATTTACTAGACACTTAAATTGAATAATTAACCTATAAACCTCGATATCGCAGCAGTTTTTTTAATAGAGGCAGAAGATATCATGGGGACAGCCAAACAATCATCTTTCGAAGAAAATCATGCAAACCATAGCATGGTCCAAAAGACAACAAGTCTACAAAACAATACATTGAAAAGACTAAGCAACACGAACCCCACGAAAGACCGGGTACAAATAAATAAAATAAGATGCTTGGTATTACCAGAGAGAAAGCTGCTTAATAACAGTAAAAGCATTATAGAAACCTGTTTGTATTATTGAAGTCTTCTGGTATCTAGATGTATGTTGGTTATATGTATCTTTGGGTTGTTTTCAGTCCATTGGCGTATACCCTATATCTCCTTTATGTATGTTCACTGTGATAGGTTTGTATGATCATGGCTATACAAATAGCGTTTAATTCCTAGGCATTCAACTTTAATCTTGACATTAAAAAAGATTTATAAGATGCTTTTAGTAACTTTTTATAAACTTTCCCTGAATAATTTAATAATTTTCTTACAGTGAAAGTCCTTTAGACAAAATCTAAATGAACTATTATGTAGTAATTCAATTGTCTGGGATTCAATTTGATCTCTTCTTACAAGACACCATCAGATTCATTTATTTGTCTGTATGCTTTATCTAATTTTGTTAATGACCTGCCCAGTAATCTCCCTCTTTTGTTATATATAGGATATGTAATTGTATTATGGAAGATTAGAAACATAATTCAGTACAATTTTGCATTTTAATGGCTGTAAGATCATAATTATTTTAAATATAGAAACACAATTCAGAGTAAAAGTTTGTTTTGTAATTATCGTTAGATCATATCAGTTAATCTGCATTCATCTTGATTCATTCATATCTAGAAAGCTGCCATCACATTAATTATTGATCTAGCAAATTATATTTCCAATGCATGGTGTTTTGATGTTATATCCAATGTACAGCAGACAATTCTGCACACTTGTTCAGGACAAGAACATGTTTAAGTGATACTAAAACACTGGGTAATTCTTAATAATGAGGATTCACAAGAACACAAGATCCTGTCATGAGGAATTTCTCTAACTTTTAAGAAAGGCCAATATCTGCTTTTAATTCAGCATTCTGTGTACGAGCAAATATCCATTGGAAATGACATTAGAGAAAAAAATATTTTCAAAAGAAATAACTTCTAATGGTCTTTACTGAAAGAATGACCAGCATAGATTTCTCCTTAAGTAAACTAGAGGTTATAAAGAACCAGTGTCGCTCAACTGGGTCATTGCTCATCTTCATCAATGGCTACTTTTAAACATTGTAGACTCAAATATATATGATGAACTAAAATCCTTTCATTGTTGATCTTGTATTTCTGATATTTTTTTCAGTTTAAAATTTCTCTCTATCTACCAGAGTTTTTGCAAAAAAATCTTTTAATGGCAATAACTTCAAAATGGAATCGACTGACAATTTGGGCTATTTTGATTTTTAATTTCTATTCATCTGTTATAGTTTTGAAGATAAAAGGCCAAAAATGCTAAATATTTGTAAAAATTGTCATTCAAGGCAAACAATTCCTATGCTGTGTCGACTGACAATTTGATCCTTTGATTTATTAGTAGATCTTGTCTTGAAGAGGATTTTTGACTTTCAAAGATTCAACTGTCTACCTATTATAATTTTCAATTAGAAGTAGCAGTTTTCAAAATAATAGACAAAACTTGTATTTTATCCCTGCTTTCTATTTTAAGCCATGTCAGACATGTTGGTTGGGAGGCAGGACATTCTGACACATTTTTTACTCATATGAAGATTGTGCCCAAGGTTGAGTAGACTTTTGTAAAAGTTAACCAACAACAATGATGATGGAAGCCAATTTAAGAGAATACCTCACTTGACTTTTAGAAATTAATGTAACAAGCAAAACTTATTCTTTGGATGTTTTTGTTGTTAGATTTGTGTCTGATTGACATATACCCCATATTTTCTGTTGATCAACAAACCATGAATATGCATGAAATATTTAGCTATTGGTTGTTATCCAAACAACAATTAATCAATCAATAATTGACTGATTTATTGATGGATACTATATGTTCAGCAGCAAATATTACATGCATATTCAGGATGATAAGATATCAAATTGATATAAAACATGATCTTTCAAATTGGCCATTTAGATTTGTTTGGATGTTTAAGATTTCAAAACATCTAATTAGAAGTCATGGTTAGTGACCTTGCATCATCCAATCCAATCTATTCCTTTAAAACTTCAGGTATTTTTCACTATGGAATATCCAAATTATAGTTGGTAAACAACAAATATTTCATAATATAGTCTGGAAATTCTTTGTTTAAACCATTAAATTTTATGATAGTACTGCCATTTAATGCACCAACCTAATTGTAAACAATACTCAACTTAGCAAAGCAGTTAAGTTTCATTGTTTTATTCATTTTTTTTTATATTATAAATTGCAAGTGGATTTAATATTTTGAAAAATCAATAAAACTGTAAAAATTTGATTAAATACTGACAATCTATATATGTTTGCAGGTAAAATGTGCAATCAAAGTGCTAGTGTTTCACTTGAAATTATTGTTTGAATTTGAATTCAAGGTAGTCTTAACATGACCCCTTATAGGGTGTTTCTAGGTTTTACAAACACAAGAGTGCACACGCTGAAATGTCTCGCCTTCTTTACTAACCATTGTTATTATGTTGATAGTCTTAAATATAGAGCTTTACTACAACTATAACATAAACTTAACATGATCCAAGAAAATGAGGTCAAGGTCAGATAAACCCAATTTGAAATACATAATACACCTTACAATTATTCCATACACCAAATATGCTTGAAATATAGTTGACCTTTTGCACATCTAAGAAACAAAATTAACCAGAAAAACTTAACATTGATCAATGAACCAAGAAAATAAGGCCAAGGTCAGATAAACCCTGCCAGACAGACATGTACACCTTACAATCTTTAAATTCTTTAAATATAGTTGACCTTTTGCATCTAGTATCTAAGAAACAAACTTAACCAGGAAAACTTGATTGACCAATGAACCATGAAAATGAGGTCATGGTCGGATGATAATTGCCAGACAGATGTATACACCTTACAATCATTCCATACACCAAATATAGTTGACCTATTGCCTAAAGAATAAGAAAAACAGACCAAAAAACAAAAACTTACCATTGAGCAATGAACCGTAAAAATGAGGTCAAGGTCAAATAAAAAACATGCCAGCCTGACATGCACATCGTAAAATATTTTCATACACCAAATATAGTTGACCTATTGCATACAGTATTAGAAAAACAGACCAAAACACAAAAACTTTACTTTAACCACTGAACCATGAAAATAAGGTCAAGGTCAGATGACACCTGCCAGTTGGACATGTTCACCTTACAATCCTTCCATACAGCAAATATAGTAGACCTATTGCTTATAGTATCTGAGATATGGACTTGACCACCAAAACTTAACCTTGTTCACTGATCCATGAAATGAGGTCGAAGTCAAGTGAAAAATGTCTGACGGGCATGAGGACCTTGCAAGGTACGCACTTACCAAATATAGTTATCCCATTACTCATAATAAGAGAGAAATTAACATTACAAAAAATCTTAGCTTTTTTTTCAAGTAGTCACTGAACCATGAAAATGAGGTCAAGGACAATGGACCTATGACAGACAGAAACTTCATAACATAAGGCATCTATATCCAAAGTATGAAGCATCCAGGTCTTCCACCTTCTAAAATATAAAGCTTTTAAGAAGTTAGCTAATGCCGCCACGGGATCACTATTCCTATGCCGAGCTTTCTGCGACAAAAGTCGCAGGCTCGACAAAAATTAATAGGGCAAAGTGGATGATGATGATGGATGACTGCTTAATGTCCAGCGGCTAATTAATATGCATATTCAGGACGAGAACATGTAATTTGAATATTAACCCTGCTTTGTACTAGACCAACACGCTGAGCCAGATTTTTAACGTGCTTGTTCACAAGGTAACAGTCCGCAGTAAGACATGTCACCTTACCAAGACACATTATTCTGACTCCAAGTCGACCAGTCTTTGCTCTTACTCCTCAATGCTGCATGGTTAGCAGAGAAGCAGCAAACACTAATTTTAAAGTCTTTGGTTTGACCCAGCCTGGGTTCAAACCCACAACCTCCTGCACTCGAGGCCAACATGCTACCACGGGACCAACGAGGTGATTGGGCAAAGTGGAAGTTCTGATTTTAATCAGGTTGCAAGAACTATGAAAAGGGAATGCATATTAATATAGATTATTTATTTTGTCCTAGATGCATTTCATTATTAATTCATTTTATCTCATTTGCTCTGTTTTGTAAAACAATAGGGTTATTTGAAATGTATGCAAAAACAATATTTAACACTGCACAAACTTATTGCTCTTTTATTTCCTCCACATTCATTTGTTAAACAACAATGCAAGATAAAAATCATAAGTTGGTCTTTATTTTTGACAGCTCCATGCATCCTTCATTCTGTAACATCTTATTCCAATAACATAACTACCAACTGTTTTAGCTGGCCCTATGAGAAATTTCAGGTTTTTTCAGACATCAGTTTTGGCCAGCCCATATCATCTACTAGGCTCTCTGATGGGTCCTCTATAACCTGTGGCCCAGGACCAGGTTTGGTGTGGATGACATATTTTACAGACCCATTCTGTTTACTTAACTTAAACTTCTGGATTTCATCCTGTAAAATAAAATATAAAATTGTATTAAGTTGTTTTAAACAACAGAAAGATAAAATGCACCATATATCAATGGCTTATGATTTGGGATCAGCAAAAAGAACTCATCAAAGATAACAAGCTTATAATTTTGTACACCATACTGACTTTTCATCAACATTTCTTGTCAGTGATGCTTAAATCAAAAATGATTAAAATAATCTATTTTGTTATGTAGCTAGAATATGAATTTTGTGACCCAAGTTCATTTCTGGTAAGGACCTAAACTATATTACAGTGAGAAGTGTTGGGCCCATAACCAAAAGGTGATTATATAATGTGCTGTTCAACTTTCTCTTACCCATTTTCCAGGAATAGCCCTCATCTTATAATACTAAGAACCAAGTGTAAGTTTCTAAATAGAGACTGAAGCTGCATCTCTAAGATACTAAGTAAGTAACTCACTATGTATTTAATTTTCTAAGTAATAGGTTAGTAGCAGTATTATCACTGGTATAAATTTTAATGGTGTAAAATATCAATGGTATGTATTCAAATGATTGATTGATGTTTGCTTAACATCCAGTGGAAAATATTTCATGCATGTTCAGGACGAGTATTCAATTGAAAATACAGTTATTAATTTCTGAGAAGTTTATGTTTGATCAAAACCATACTTACTGTGTGTAACGTTTGTTCAGTTATAGGTAAACCCTGTACTGTGCTGTGTCCATTATCAGGCAGAAAAAAGTGTTTCACCAATGAATAAAATCTGGATACTTCAGAATCTAACATGAACAAGCAGGCATTAGGGCCAGCATCAAATGTGTATGATACCTAAAAAATATTGCTGCAGTAAATAAACTAATTTTTCACTTCAAAACATTTTATCGAAGCGGGACCAATATACCTGAATTTATACATCAGACCGTACTGCACTGGTTACCGGGATTTTGGATACACCAAACCGGGCACTTTATATCTGAGAAACAGGCTATATATACCCTCAATTTTAGAATTCATTCATACATTTTTGTTTTATTAAAAATTATCAGTAAATTGTGTGTTCTACAAGGATCACCAGTTCTTCACCATTCATTTGATACCTTAATTACTAAAATATATGCTACATAGTTTAAGATTTACCCTTTTGCGTAGGAACTATTTTGTTTTAAATATGTACTACTTTCCAGTATGTTCTTTTTTAACCAGGCCCAATTAGGTGGTGTTACATCTTACAAAGTCTATCCAAATTATTTTTGCAAAGAATTCCACTCAAGCCAGTGCTATGGGCCGTCTTAAACTTGCAGTGAGGTGAGAGTTTTTTTTTATCCGTGATGAAGGCCTCACTTCTACTTTGACATAAAGAACAGCAATAAAAGCGCTGTTCATTTGCTTTTTGTGTTTTTTTTTCTTTTTTTTTTGCTGTGCATGTACTGATTTTGTGTCATGGATGGATACCCCATATCCTTTGTTTTTCTATTAAGATTCTCTGATAAGATGTGTTATCAGATATACTACTATATCTATATTTACAACTAACACATAACAAGCTAACATACTTTACAATCATATCACAATCAGGTTTATCTGCCTTTAAGATATCTATATTGTGAAAGTACTTTAATTCATGGGGTACCAATTTTCGTGGTTTTCAAGGATGGCTTTATTCATGAATTTAAGTATCCAACGAAATATAACAAATCAAACCATTGAAAGATCCCAATATGGATACGGGCATATAATCTAGAGAATACATCGAATATCAGTAAATGCACTATGAACTATATATACAACTTCAGACAGAATTTTGCCAATTTAATCTTTTAATAAGCCTAAACTGTACAACTTTTAGCCTTTTAACGCTCACGAGAAATTTGTTTTGATCAATGAAAGTCAGACTTCCGGAGATGATATGTGATGATGATATGTGGTGATGATGATATGTGATGATGATGATATGTGATGTTCATTTTATCTCCTAATAATTCGCATAAGAAATAAAATTTATAATATCATATTGGGCTTGTGTTTTACTTCATAAAAACTAATTCTACAATTCAAAGTACATTTGTAGCATTTTTTAAAGTAACCAATTTCTTTAAGTGATATGTTTTTGGCCCAATTAACATCTTTAATGATCTTAATCTGTTGATCATTTGATCTCAGGTTAATTAGTGTCGTCACTTCTGATTACAAGTGTGCAACAGTTAAAATGTTTACTTTGCAATTTCCTTCAATCGAGACAATTTGTAAGCATAGACAAATCAGCTAATTCATGTTATTTCCGAAAGCAATTATTTTATTAAAAATTTCAACAATGTTGTCAGTAATGAAAGTGGAACAAGTACGTGAAAATGAACACCTTATTTTTAAATGGGCCACAAATCATTATAAAACAAACATATGACTATTTTCAAAAATCTACGTTTCTGATGGCTTCAAATTCTTCACTCTAGATTTTTTTCAGAAAACTAAAATCCACCAATTTATGAACCCACAAACATGTAACATAAAATTGAGAATGGAAATGGGGAATGTGTCAAAGAGACAACAACCGACCATAGAGAAGACAACAGCCGAAGTCCACCAATGGGTCTTCAATGCAGTGAAAAACTCCCGCACCCAGAGGCGTCCTTCAGCTGGCCCCTAAACAAATATGTATACTAGTTCAGTGATAATGGATGTCATACTAAACTCCAAATTATACACAAGAAACTAAAATTAAAAATGATACAAGACTAACAAAGGCCAGAGGCTCCTGACTTGGGACAGGCGCAAAAATGCGGCGGGGTTAAACATGTTTTTTGAGATCTCAACCCTCCCCCTATACCTCTAGGCAATGTAGAAAAAACAAACGTACAACAGTACGCACAGTAAAACTCAGTTTAAGAGAAGTTTGAGTTCAATGTCAGAATAGGAAACAAAAGAAAATAAACAAAATGACAATAATACATAAATAACAACAGACTACTAGCAGTTACTGACATGCCAGCTCCAGACCTCAATTAAACTGATTGAAAGATTATGTCTTCATCATATGAATATCAGGCACAATCCCTCCTGTTAGGGGTTTAGTATTATACCATCATAAAATATATGAGAAGAACAAATCCCGTGTTTGCTCAAACCATGAAAATTGATACCCACGAATAAAAGTACTGTAAGTTCAGAAATTATTGCGTGCATTTATTATTGCGATCTTGTCATTTTAGACTTAAATGCGATTTTATTTTTTACGATTTTGAGAAAAATCCTGTTTAATAATTCATATAAATTCAGTGTTCTCCCCAGGATTTTTGGATAGCACCAGGGTAACGCGTGTGGACTTCTTGGTGAAATATTTCATGCAATCAGTTGTGTCGCGTCGCGTCGCTTAGCTCTAGTAACTGTAGTTTTTATGTCTCTTGTTTTGTTTTAACACTGTGGTACTGTGTTATGTAGACATTGATTCAGAAAATTATTGGTAAAAAAGAAGTAAATAAAAAAACAGTTTGTTTACTTTAATATTTTTTTTAAATAAATAAATTATGATTCATAATAAAATATTCATCTGAATTTAAAGTAATTAAATCTTTTATAAAATCCAAAATCAATAAAAATAAAATATCATTCAAAAGAGAACAAAAATGTTCAATTTAAAAAACTTTCTAGTTTTTAGAAAAAAAGTTGTTGTATGTGAAAGGATTCCTGTCATATAAAGAAGATATAAAATTAACAAGAACAATTGCAAATATTGTTTTATTATTTGAACCAAGTTTCTATCTTAAATTTTAATAAAAAGAAATTTTTCATAAATTTTAGATCATTTTGCCATAGATTTCATGTAAATATTAACCTTTCTTGTCTTTGGTGATAATCAAACATAGATACAGACTTAATACTGCCCTAAAATCTAAATCTTTATTTGTCATGAACCATTTAAAAAGAATTCTTAAATCTATAAATTTATCTTTGGTCTATAGATCTATAAGTAACCATATTCAATGTCAACAACTAAGTCTCCCTATTTTCCCGCCTAAATGACAGGAAGTAGATATAAATAGATTTAACATGTGCTTATGGATAAAATTTGCAAGATTACTTCTGTTATTCATTAATTATGGATATAGATATCCAGTTTGAAGGTACAGTCATGCATTTTATTTATAAAATATAATAGATTGCAATTAATTGTAAATAAACTTGAATATTCTACGTGAACTAACTGGGTCATGTGATATGTACAGACAGATACTACAGTTTTAAAACCCGACTATCAAACAAAAACTATGTCATAATTAAAGATTATATTGGCCATGGTTTAATCAGAGACATATAATACTATAATATATAAGAATTGGGAATGTATAGTTGTCCATTATACGTAATGAGCCAGCATTATGATGTACAAAAAATGTACCTATCGGGTCAAGACACTGTTTGTGTACAAAGTATACACCTTATCGCTATTTGTCCGCCATTACTTGACATCACACAAGTTCCCGTAAAATTTTGACGTCATAATAGAAAATATCTGACGCCACAATGGAAAAGTGATTGTTGTATGACGTCAAAAGTTCGAGCGGGACTGATTCTCGGGTCAAGCGGGATTAGCGATAAGGTGTATTTGCCGACTTGTCACAGGTCAGTGCTTGGGTGGAGAGTGAAGCCATAAAATAGTTAACTGTGATCATAAAGTTATGAACTCTTAATTAAAACACAAAAGAATCATGTTACAAGTGTTAATTACATCGATTAAATCCAATCAACAAGGTTAACCTCATAAGGTAAATCGATCACGTGGTGTAAACAATCTGTGTTGAACTGGTTTGAACTGGTCAAATTTCACCTGGAATTTTATACCACACGGTTTAAAGATTTAACAAGTCGTTTAAAACTTTACCGATGTACGATTTTTTAACTGAAAATTTTAGCACCACGGAGAAAAATTATACATCGCGGTAAGAACGATACCACCACGGTAAAAAATTATACATCGCGGGCCCGCGGTCCTTTAAGGGCCTGGGGAGAACACTGAAATTATTTCAAAATATGTTTAAATTATTGCGTTTACAACTCTGTCGCATTTTTCGCAATAATAAAAACCTCGCAATAATTTCTGATTTTACAGTACTTACACAGTATCTTAAAATTTGATCCAATCTGAAAAAACATTGATTTTTTTTCGGATATTCACTTTAAATGACCTTAATAATTAAGGATATTTGATCAAAGAGTTGAGTCTACAGGCCACATGAAGACTATTCACAGAACAGTCCATTTCTGCTCCAAATCCTCAATGCAACATGCTTTAGGAAAAACAAAAAACTTTTTAATAGCATATGTGATGATGATGTGATGATCCTATATCCAAGTGAAAATGTTGAGGATATGTATAGAACTATCTCTCTAAACCCCAAAATACTGAAATTGTAAAACAAACCTTTACATCCTCAATGATATTATTATACTGGTGAACTAATCTAATAATCTGATGTGATGTATCTGTCATGTACGAAATAGGAGGATATGTATCTAAACACACTGCATGGAGCTGGTTACTCTCCTGAAAATCACACAATCAGAGAATATAATACTCAAAATTGACAACAACACTTCAAATGGTCTGCAATTTTATTTGCTATGGTCTACATGTTTCACCTGCAGGTGAAACATGTAGACCATAGCAAATAAAATTGCAGACCATTTGAAGTGTTGTTGTCAATTTTGAGTATTATTTAAATGGTGCATTCATTTGCATAATTTGACAACCCCGCATACCAAGGTATCCACTTCAGGGACTCTATCGAAATGATTCACACAGGCGTTGGTTCACCAAACGGAGTTTAATCAGAGAATATGTCAATTTGGAGAATATGTACATTGTATGGAATTGTTTTCTCTCCCTAAAACACAGTCACAGAATCTGGGAGATTGGAGGATATTCACATACATCTGATTACTCTCCTGGAAGAATAATGCCACTTAATAAAGCAATATTATGCCTAAGTTTCTAAATATTACACATTTTTAGCAGCATTCATTTTCAAACAACTCAAATAAGTGCTAGTCAGTTAAGGTACTATTTGAAATGGTTAAAATTATAATAGGATCCTACATTCTAGAGGGCAGTAGAGACACTGTAAAATTGTAATAGGATCCTATATTCTAGACGGCAGTAGAGACACTGTAAAATTGTAATAGGATCTTACATTCTAGAGGGCAGTAGAGACACTGTAAAATTGTAATAGGATCCTACATTCTAGAGGGCAGTAGAGACACTGTAAAATTGTAATAGGATCCTACATTCTAGAGGACAGTAGAGACACTGTAAAATTGTAATAGGACCCTACATTATAGAGGGCAGTAGAGACACTGTAAAATTGTAATAGGATCCTACATTCTAGAGGGCAGTAGAGACATTGTAATAGGATCTTACATTCTAGAGTAGAGACAATGTAAAATTGTAATAGGATCTTACATTCTAGAGTAGAGACAATGTAAAATTGTAATAGGATCTTACATTCTAGAGTAGAGACAATGTAAAATTGTAATAGGATCTTACATTCTAGAGGGCAGTAGAGACAATGTAAAATTGTAATAGGATCCTACATTCTAGAGGGCAGTAGAGACATTGTAAAATTGTAATAGGATCTCACATTCTAGAGTAGAGACAATGTAAAATTGTAATAGGATCTTACATTCTAGAGTAGAGACAATGTAAAATTGTAATAGGATCTTACATTCTAGAGGGCAGTAGAGACACTGTAAAATTGTAATAGGATCCTACATTCTAGAGGGCAGTAGAGACACTGTAAAATTGTAATAGGATCCTACATTCTAGAGGGCAGTAGAGACACTGTAAAATTGTAATAGGATCCTACATTCTAGAGGACAGTAGAGACACTGTAAAATTGTAATAGGATCCTACATTATAGAGGGCAGTAGAGACATTGTAAAATTGTAATAGGATCTCACATTCTAGAGTAGAGACAATGTAAAATTGTAATAGGATCTTACATTCTAGAGTAGAGACAATGTAAAATTGTAATAGGATCTTACATTCTAGAGGGCAGTAGAGACACTGTAAAATTGTAATAGGATCCTACATTCTAGAGGGCAGTAGAGACACTGTAAAATTGTAATAGGATCCTACATTCTAGAGGACAGTAGAGACACTGTAAAATTGTAATAGGATCCTACATTATAGAGGGCAGTAGAGACACTGTAAAATTGTAATAGGATCCTACATTATAGAGGGCAGTAGAGACACTGTAAAATTGTAATAGGATCCTACATTCTAGAGGGCAGTAGAGACATTGTAAAATTGTAATAGGATCTTACATTCTAGAGTAGAGACAATGTAAAATTGTAATAGGATCTTACATTCTAGAGTAGAGACAATGTAAAATTGTAATAGGATCTTACATTCTAGAGGGCAGTAGAGACAATGTAAAATTGTAATAGGATCCTACATTCTAGATGGCAGCACTGACTAACACAAAAATGTATGTCTCATATCTACTTCTGGTCCAAGATAAAGTGGGAAACAATACTGGACAAAAAGCATCTGTACATGTAATCAGTTAACCAATGATCCTAACTTTATCACCAAAACAAATATTAATCTAAAATTTGATCACATATATTTTTACCTTCATTGTTATCTCAGCAAATGTTTTAAAATCTTTGTTTATTATAGCTTCTGTAATTTGATTTTCCTTGTTGGGAAGTCCAGACAATCTATGTTTTAGTAGCTCACTGGTTTCCACTGTGGTCTGCATCCCTGCTGTACTACTGGTATGTTTTGTCTGGTCACTAACCTGAAAAAAAATGCAAGGGAGATAATTTAGGCAACTACTTTTAATTTTTAGTTTTGAGTCTATGTCACTTCAACCTATCTCAGGGTAGATGTATATGTGTCTGTTTTTGCTTTAAACATATAATATTAATAATGTTTAATCTCAATGACTAAACTATTGTGAAGTCATGAAATATTATTTAATTGGGACATTTTAGCCGTTAAAGAAACAAAAAACACTCCTATACCTTGTATTTCTGTATTTTCCTTAAAAACAAATTGACATCTGCTGAAGTACTCTAATCAACACCATAGCAGGCACTTTCAACTTTTTTGGAGAGGGAGTATAAAAAAAACTGACCAGTACTGTACCAGACTTTCACAACTTTCACAAATAATTGTCATTTTTAAGTCTCAAGATCCAATCTTTTCTAAACTTTAAAATGTATAATAAGCCAAAAATTGTATGTTGAGCATATTGGATACATGTCAATGAGACAGCAACACCCCCCCCCCCCCCAAAAAAAAAAACCCAAACCAATAAGACATTTTAATAGATTCAAATATGGAATATGTTTACTGTTGAGAACATTAAATTGATTCAATATAATGTTTTGAACAGTAAACAAGTGTCCCTATCATGTCAAGCTCTAAATTTCCCTGATAGAATGGAAACATTTTTTATCTAGTAACTGTCAAGTTGAGCTGTATCCACCTGTATTGCCCTACTACTTACAGTTTACCATTGATTTAGAACTGACATTTCAGTATTACAATTCTGACATATAATCTGTTAAAAACCAAAATAACTTTTTTCTCACCACTAAAATGAGCACAGACATTTCTGGCCAGTGAGTATGTGGAGCTATCTGTCTGGCTTTAGAATCTGACCCATCCTCATTTGTTCCTTTATCCCAGGTTACAAATCCTCCATGTATACTTCTACAGGCACTACCTGAACCTTGTCTATAACATATGATATACAACAGTTATGTCAACTTTAAACAATACTGGTTTTACTTTCAGTTTCATTGAAGAATCAAAATGAACTTTAAACGAAATATATATTTCTGTCTTGAATTTGCAACTAAAGGCTCTTTGTGGCTGCATTATTAATGCAGTAATAATTTGATAAGATAATGGATTTATATTTGCATAAATCTAAGTCATTGGGACTCAGGTGGATAGTTGTCTCATTGGTAATCATACCACATCTTTTTATTTTTAAATTAGCAATTATTTTTCATTCAGATCAGAGTTGCTTTGATTCAACAAGTGATGTGGGTTCAAAGGGTTCAACAATCTTTATATGCAAGGTTAAAATATGTTCCCCCAAAGCAGAGGCCTATAGCTTTAAAAAATTCTAGTGTTTTAGAAGAAATAATTTTTAAAAAGTTTGTTTTTGACTGATAACACCAAAAATAGAATGATGACAATAGCTCAGATTTGCTGTTATGTCTAATTGGGTTGGTATGGTCACTTGTCAATGTCAACAACTGGTTAAGGTAAAATAGTGAATGAATTTTACACAAAAGACTAGTGATGATTATACGGTCTAGCATTCTAGTATCTTACAGGTGACATAATCAACTTAAAACAATTTCTTCTCTCCTCTTTCATTTTAATTGATTTAAAGCCTCTCCTTTATTATTTTATTTGGTTTAAAGCCTTAAAGTGGCAACAAGAAGATATATCCTTAGGTCAAAGTGCCCCACTCATACTATAACATTTCAATATGCATGTTCATGGAACCATGAAATCTGGGTTAATTTGGCATATATATTAAACAGTTAACTTCACAATGAACATGCATACCAAGTTTCAAGTTGATGTGACCACAAACTACCTTAAACTCAAACATTCGTCTGATATGTGTAAAACAGACGGATGCACAGATTAAAATAAATAATGCTCCTTCTTCTATCATAGGTACTGCAAAAACTGTAAAAAAGTTTTTTTCCCTAATTAATGGACATATTAGGTATAAGCAAGCCTTAAGTAATTTGGTACAAAAGTACATATCATATATATTATGTACTCATTAGAATGAATTACCTTGCAATGTCTGATAGTTCTCCTTTTACATTGAGTAGTTTGGCTAATGTATAAACTGAAATGAAAACAAACACACAACATAGATTAAGCTGTTTATTATTAATAATTTATTTCTAAGTGTATCTGTACTAAATTGCTCTTGTACTTTGCCCCATGCCTACTCCTAAACAAATGACTTATCATTCTCAGGTTTACAGTCAACTACAAATGTTTCAGGTTTCAGACAATGAACAATCAGTGTTTAACCTCCTATCTACATTCAAAGCACAAACAATGTACGAATTTAAATTGATTTTAAATACTGCTCCTTTCAGATAATAAATTATATAGTTGCCTATCATTGTTCTCCTCAAAATACTGGGTAAAACAAAGCTAATATTCTATAAAAGCACCTTGTGAAATCCCAAAACCTATTAAGTTTAGACATTAACTTATCAGGAATCCTCACTAGGCCTAGTGTGGTCAGCCCTGGCTTTTCAAATATAATTTATTTTTGTAACCCTAAATATAGCCCTTGGTCTCTGCAGATTGGTTGCATTAAATATCTACAGTTAAATGTGATTTAAAACAACAGACAAAAATATCTCACATCAACTAAATGTAAAAATCCTTTAACTTACTTTCTGTAACTTTGTAAAATTGATGCATCCACAGTCACAATGCAATATATTGAAATTTTATTTTAAACTTTTATCCCGAACTCTGTGGTTAATAAGGTATAGTGATGCATATATACTAACCTAAGCACCCATAACCTGCAGCAGAACTCTGTGGTTAATAAGGTATATTGATGAATATATACTAACCTAAGCACCCATAACCTGCAGCAGAACTCTGTGGTTCATAAGGTATAGTGATGAATATATACTAACCTAAGCACCCATAACCTGCAGCAGAACTCTGAGGTTAATAAGGTATAGTGATGAATATATACTAACCTAAGCACCCATAACCTGCAGCAGAACTCTGAGGTTAATAAGGTATAGTGATGAATATATACTAACCTAAGCACCCATAACCTGCAGCAGAACTCTGAGGTTAATAAGGTATAGTGATGAATATATACTAACCTAAGCACCCATAACCTGCAGCAGAACTCTGAGGTTAATAAGGTATAGTGATGAATATATACTAACCTAGGCACCCATAACCTGCAGCAGAAGAAGCCAAGCCAGCAGCCGTAGGGAAATTATTCTCTGACACAATGTGCAGTTTCCACTTCAATCTTGTATTTGTCTCTCCATCACTTTTTCTTTTTCTAGCTCTTCTTTTAACTGTAAGCACATAAATCATCCTGTAGTTGATCGTTTGTAAAGTAAAAAAAACCTTACCTGTCATTTTTATTGAAACAAGTATTCTGTGAGTATTGCATGGCAATACCTAGTCCCCTACCGGTTAAAAATTCAGTGTATTGGAACAAAATTCTAACTTGATCTATAACTTGTCATGGTGTAAACTATAAAACAAATATCAAGTCAATGTCTTAAAGCAGACCAAAAAAGTGTTGAAAACTGATTATTTAACTGAATTTTCTAAGTCCAAGGACCATAACTCTGCACAATATTATCAGACCAAAACAAAATTTTATCTTGATCTGTAACTTGTCATGATAAAACTATACACTAATTTTCAAATCAATATCTTCATGCATGACGAAAAAAAGTACGGAAAACTGATTATTTGAGTGAATTTTCTAAGTCCAAGGACCATAACTCTGCACAACATCTTCAGACTGGAACAAAATTCAAACTTGAACTGTAACTTGGCATGATAAAACTATATACCAATTATCAAATCAATGTCTTCAAGAATGACAAAAAAAAGTGTTGAAAACTGATTATTTTAGTGAATTTTCTAAGTCAAAGGACCATAACTCTGCACAAAATCATCAGACCGAAACAAAATTCGAACTTGATCTGTAACTTGTCATGATAAAACAATACACCAAATATAAAATCAATATCTTAAAGCATGACGAAAAAAAGAGCGGAAAACTGATTATTTGAGTGAATTTTCTATGTCCAAGGACCATAACTCTGCACAACATCATCAGACCGGAACAAAATGCAATCTTGAACTGTAACTTGTCATGATAAAACTATATACCAATTATCAAATCAATATCTTCAAGAATGACCAAAAAAAAGTGTTGAAAACTGATTATTTTAGTGAATTTTCTAGGTCAAAGGACCATAACTCTGCACAAAATCATCAGACCAGAACAAAATTCGAACTTGATCTGTAACTTGTCATGATAAAACAATACACCAATTTTCAAATCAATATCTTCAAGCATGACGAAAAAAAAGTAAGGAAAACTGATTATTTGAGTGAATTTTCTAAGTCCAAGGACCATAACTCTGCACAACATCATCAGACTGGAACAAAATTCAAACTTGAACTGTAACTTGGCATGATAAAACTATATACCAATTATCAAATTAATGTCTTCAAGAATGACAAAAAAAAGTGTTGAAAACTGATTATTTTAGTGAATTTTCTAAGTCAAAGGACCATAACTCTGCACAAAATCATCAGACCAAAACAAAATTCGAACTTGATCTGTAACTTGTCATGATAAAACAATACACCAAATATAAAATCAATATCTTAAAGCATGACTAAAAAAAGTGTTGAAAACTAATTATTTTAGTGAATTTTCTAAGTCAAAGGACCATAACTCTGCACAATATTATCAGACTAGAACAAAATTTTAACTTGATCTGTAACTTGTCATGATAAAACTATATACCAATTTTCAAAACAATATCTTCAAGCATGACAAAAAAAAGTACGGAAACTGATTATTTGAGTGAATTTTCTAAGTCCAAGGACCATAACTCTGCACAACATCATCAGACTGGAACAAAATTCAAACTTGAACTGTAATTGGGCATGATAAAACTATATACCAATTATCAAATCAATGTCTTCAAGAATGACAAAAAAAAGTGTTGAAAACTGATTATTTTAGTGAATTTTCTAAGTCAAAGGACCATAACTCTGCACAAAATCATCAGACCGAAACAAAATTCGAACTTGATCTGTAACTTGTCATGATAAAACAATACACCAAATATAAAATCAATATCTTAAAGCATGACGAAAAAAAGAGCGGAAAACTGATTATTTGAGTGAATTTTCTATGTCCAAGGACCATAACTCTGCACAACATCATCAGACCGGAACAAAATGCAATCTTGAACTGTAACTTGTCATGATAAAACTATATACCAATTATCAAATCAATATCTTCAAGAATGACCAAAAAAAAGTGTTGAAAACTGATTATTTTAGTGAATTTTCTAGGTCAAAGGACCATAACTCTGCACAAAATCATCAGACCAGAACAAAATTCGAACTTGATCTGTAACTTGTCATGATAAAACAATACACCAATTTTCAAATCAATATCTTCAAGCATGACGAAAAAAAAGTAAGGAAAACTGATTATTTGAGTGAATTTTCTAAGTCCAAGGACCATAACTCTGCACAACATCATCAGACTGGAACAAAATTCAAACTTGAACTGTAACTTGTCATGATAAAACTATATACCAATTATCAAATTAATGTCTTCAAGAATGACAAAAAAAAGTGTTGAAAACTGATTATTTTAGTGAATTTTCTAAGTCAAAGGACCATAACTCTGCACAAAATCATCAGACCAAAACAAAATTCGAACTTGATCTGTAACTTGTCATGATAAAACAATACACCAAATATAAAATCAATATCTTAAAGCATGACGAAAAAAAGTGTTGAAAACTAATTATTTTAGTGAATTTTCTAAGTCAAAGGACCATAACTCTGCACAATATTATCAGACTAGAACAAAATTTTAACTTGATCTGTAACTTGTCATGATAAAACTATATACCAATTTTCAAAACAATATCTTCAAGCATGACAAAAAAAAGTACGGAAACTGATTATTTGAGTGAATTTTCTAAGTCCAAGGACCATAACTCTGCACAACATCATCAGACTGGAACAAAATTCAAACTTGAACTGTAACTTGGCATGATGAAACTATATACCAATTATCAAATCAATATCTTCAAGAATGACAAAAAAAAGTGTTGAAAACTAATTATTTTAGTGAATTTTCTAAGTCAACGGACCATAACTCTGCACAACATCATCAGACCGGAACAAAATGCAATCTTGAACTGTAACTTGTCATGATAAAACTATATACCAATTATCAAATCAATATCTTCAAGAATGACCAAAAAAAAGTGTTGAAAACTGATTATTTTAGTGAATTTTCTAGGTCAAAGGACCATAACTCTGCACAAAATCATCAGACCAGAACAAAATTCGAACTTGATCTGTAACTTGTCATGATAAAACAATACACCAATTTTCAAATCAATATCTTCAAGCATGACGAAAAAAAAGTAAGGAAAACTGATTATTTGAGTGAATTTTCTAAGTCCAAGGACCATAACTCTGCACAACATCATCAGACTGGAACAAAATTCAAACTTGAACTGTAACTTGGCATGATAAAACTATATACCAATTATCAAATTAATGTCTTCAAGAATGACAAAAAAAAGTGTTGAAAACTGATTATTTTAGTGAATTTTCTAAGTCAAAGGACCATAACTCTGCACAAAATCATCAGACCAAAACAAAATTCGAACTTGATCTGTAACTTGTCATGATAAAACAATACACCAAATATAAAATCAATATCTTAAAGCATGACGAAAAAAAGTGTTGAAAACTAATTATTTTAGTGAATTTTCTAAGTCAAAGGACCATAACTCTGCACAATATTATCAGACTGGAACAAAATTTTAACTTGATCTGTAACTTGTCATGATAAAACTATATACCAATTTTCAAAACAATATCTTCAAACATGACAAAAAAAAGTATGGAACTGATTATTTGAGTGAATTTTCTAAGTCCAAGGACCATAACTCTGCACAACATCATCAGACTGGAACAAAATTCAAACTTGAACTGTAACTTGGCATGATAAAACTATATACCAATTATCAAATCAATGTCTTCAAGAATGACAAAAAAAAGTGTTGAAAACTGATTATTTTAGTGAATTTTCTAAGTCAAAGGACCATAACTCTGCACAAAATCATCAGACCGAAACAAAATTCGAACTTGATCTGTAACTTGTCATGATAAAACAATACACCAAATATAAAATCAATATCTTAAAGCATGACGAAAAAAAGAGCGGAAAACTGATTATTTGAGTGAATTTTCTATGTCCAAGGACCATAACTCTGCACAACATCATCAGACCGGAACAAAATGCAATCTTGAACTGTAACTTGTCATGATAAAACTATATACCAATTATCAAATCAATATCTTCAAGAATGACCAAAAAAAAGTGTTGAAAACTGATTATTTTAGTGAATTTTCTAGGTCAAAGGACCATAACTCTGCACAAAATCATCAGACCAGAACAAAATTCGAACTTGATCTGTAACTTGTCATGATAAAACAATACACCAATTTTCAAATCAATATCTTCAAGCATGACGAAAATAAAGTAAGGAAAACTGATTATTTGAGTGAATTTTCTAAGTCCAAGGACCATAACTCTGCACAACATCATCAGACTGGAACAAAATTCAAACTTGAACTGTAACTTGGCATGATAAAACTATATACCAATTATCAAATTAATGTCTTCAAGAATGACAAAAAAAAGTGTTGAAAACTGATTATTTTAGTGAATTTTCTAAGTCAAAGGACCATAACTCTGCACAAAATCATCAGACCAAAACAAAATTCGAACTTGATCTGTAACTTGTCATGATAAAACAATACACCAAATATAAAATCAATATCTTAAAGCATGACTAAAAAAAGTGTTGAAAACTAATTATTTTAGTGAATTTTCTAAGTCAAAGGACCATAACTCTGCACAATATTATCAGACTAGAACAAAATTTTAACTTGATCTGTAACTTGTCATGATAAAACTATATACCAATTTTCAAAACAATATCTTCAAGCATGACAAAAAAAAGTACGGAAACTGATTATTTGAGTGAATTTTCTAAGTCCAAGGACCATAACTCTGCACAACATCATCAGACTGGAACAAAATTCAAACTTGAACTGTAACTGGGCATGATAAAACTATATACCAATTATCAAATCAATGTCTTCAAGAATGACAAAAAAAAGTGTTGAAAACTGATTATTTTAGTGAATTTTCTAAGTCAAAGGACCATAACTCTGCACAAAATCATCAGACCGAAACAAAATTCGAACTTGATCTGTAACT